ATCTCTTATTTTTTTTATCTTCTTGTAAACCCTCAGAATAATTTTTTTGCCAACCCATCAAGTAAGTGGAAGAATCATTAAACTGTGAAATGTTACCCTGAAGAAATAAGGTACCTCAATGTAGAAAAAAAATTGGGATGGTTCTTTAAACTAAGTTAGATATGCAAACTATTGAAAGGGGTAAAACTTTATGGTTTATTGATGGTTTGTCCGTGCTTGTTTATTTCTGTGGTCATAGTTATCCTCGTCTCTAGTGCTCAAGTATTTTTATTGCTAGTTCTAATTGCATTCAAGGGAAATTGGTTCTAAGAGTAATTTATTAAAATATGGCCTCACTTTCATATGCAGAAGCTCCTCATTGAATTTTCCATATGAATATGGCGTGGTGTTTTTCCTTGATCTTCTGTTTCTAATGGCTGTGAAATAATGAGGGAAAAGGTAGATAAGATGATGATTGATATTGGTATTATGTACACCATAATATTGTATTTTTTTCACTTTTTTGTTTTTATTGAATTAGGAGTATAGTTGTAATTATATTGTGGTGTATTTATTAAAAACATATTTTAATCGTGGTGTGATTATAATGTGGGGTAGTAATTATAATTCATAGATGTAATATAATTACCCTTAAATGTTGATATGATGCAACAAAAAGCCAATCTATGTGGTTGAAAGCAACTCTCTTAACATTGTGGTTGTGGGTTTGAGCTCCACCGTGGGCGTTCAGCAATTTTTCTTTTATTTTTTTATTTTCCCTGGATAAACAAAGTTCAGGTAAAGTTGTCTCAAGATTAGGTTTTTTTTTTTTTTTAAATAATCTTTACCTGCTTTGATATTTCCAGTGAAGTTTGCTAACTTAATTTTCATGTGTTTAACGTATATTTTAATATAAAAATACATATTTGGCAAAATACAAGTTAAATAAAACTTCATATAAAATAAAGTGTATAAAAATTAAATAAAATTCAAGTATAGATATGCATCATTACTGCACTAACATACTAATATTGATATCAAAAAGAGGGTAAAAATGGAACTATAACACTTGTTCGCTTTTGCTTTTACTCACAAGCAATTTTTATTTATTAAAAATAGAAAAAGCATGTTTTAATTAATATTGAATTACTTCTAAACTTATTCAAACATGACCAATACAGACACAAGGTACTTACCAATTATTTAGAAGATATTTATTTTTTTTTTTTGTTTTTTTTTTTTTTTTTTTTTTTCCCTTCTGAAATATGGTTCCTTGAGAGCAACTAGAAGTCTTTTAAAAGGTTCTTCCAAAATGTATTGTGTGCAAGCATCAAACAATATAAATCACCATATTTTTTGCTAATTGTTGACACTAAGGTTTGCTAGTTTGTCAATTTTCCCAACATTTAGAATATTTTTTAAGCAAAGGGACTTAGGGAATGAATAAAGAACTTAAAACAAATAGCAAGTCGCAATATTTATGAGTCAAAATTCCTTTTAATCCTTTTAAACATGACTAGAAATATTTCATAACTTCACATATGGAAAAGGCCGTTAAGCATACTCAAGAGTAGACCTCTAGGCCAATTGAATAGAACGTCCAAAGATTTAACCCGGCCCTCATCTAAGTCCCATGATGCAAAAGGATCACAACCTTGTCGCAGATCATGAATAGTCCAAGATGTAATCAAGCTGAAAAGAGATAGTGAATATATTAAGATGTGAGTATATTTCACATAAAGTTGAACTTTAGAAATAAATAGGTCTATTTTGACGTAATCTATAATTCAATACTTGATATGAAAGAGGAGCATCCATTAATTTGAAAGCATTTTCTGATCGTAAAACCTTTCATCATTTATGTCTCAATTTATTTTCAAGTAATAGTTTCCATCATTAAAAAAAAATATTTCACATTGTTGCATACAAATAACGGAAGCAATTGACAAATTGGACAAAAAAATGATTTATATTTTACCTATGAAACATAAATAAAAAAAAATTATGAGAAATCATTTTAAAGAATTAATTTGAAAAGAAGCGACTTGCATAAAAGATGAGTTGTGAGCATATAAACAAAGCAATCGTAGCAAATTGCATGTGGGAGCTATAAGTGCATTGGAACTCACAAAGTTTAATAAGTTCTAATTTGTCTCAACTCAAAAAGAAACACTTGAAACCCAACCCATTATCATCCTAGCATAGTTGCCAAAATCCAAACCTAGACATTTCATCCTCACCGCCTCTCTCTAGTGTCGCTTGAGTCCTCAACGTCTCTGGCTCTTCGCGGCTCTGTCCTTGCTCTCATTGCTCGAATCAATCGCACCAATTTTGCCATCTCCGTTCACTTATCCTCCTCGTCGCCTACTCCAAGTACACGGGTGGGTGGTTGTAATAATCTCCAACAATAGTCGGCAAGTAATAATATTCTCTCTGTGCTTATTTTTCAATTTTCATGATCATATTATGTGGAATTGGATTAGGACCCATGTTCTAGATGATTTATTTTCAGATTGGTTCATGTATAGTTAATGTTATTATGCCTATTAGTTGGTAGGTTGGGCAAAACTCTTGAATCAAATTGAACGAGCCGAGTGATTCTTCTAAAGTTAAATACTTGAATGAGTATCTGAATCGAAAATCGACGGGTTCGGTTCTCGGTTCCAGATCAAGAACCGAATAATTGAGTAAGAACCAAATCTCCCTAATTTTTTTAATTTATTTATTTCAAATAAGCCAAATAATTTTATTTTTTCTAAATAAATTTGCTAACTAGTTAATTTAGCTCAAACCTAAAAATATGATTTTTCTATTTTTAATTTTTAGTCCAAGCACAATTTAATTAAATTGACATAACGTCTCTCTTAATTATTGTAATCTCGTTATCTTTCTCTTTCTATGATTTTAACAATCAAATCTATGAAAAACTCAGTAAAGAGATATACAAAAGACACATAAGATTAGATTACGTTATTTTATAAGAGCTAATTTTGAAATCGATCATATTTAAACTTTTACATATGAAATTTTGCTAATTCTAATTTGCCTCAACCTAGAAGAAAACAATTGAAACCCAACCCATTTAATATCCCAGCCCAGTTGCCCAAATTCAAACCTGGACATTTCATCCTCACCACTTCTCTCTAGTGTTGCTCGAGACCTCGACGTCGCTGGCTCTCCGTGGCTTCGCCCTTGCTCTCACTGCTCCAATTAGTTGCACCAATTTCGCCATTTCCGTTCACTTCTCATCCTCATCCTCATCACCTACCTCAATAAGTACACGGGTGTGTAGTTGTAATAATCTCCAACGACAACCGGCAAGTAATGATTTTATTTCTCTGCTTATTTTTCAATTTTCATGATCATATTATGTGAAATTGGATTAGGACCCATGTTCCAGATGATTTATTTTCAGGTTGATTCATATATAGTTGGTGTTATTATGCTTATTGTTTGGTAAGGCTGGGTAAAACTCCCGAATGAACCAAGCTGTTATTCTTAAGTTAAATAATCGAATAGGTATTTGAATTGAGAATCGACATGCTCGGTTCTAGATCAAGAACAGAAGAATCGAATGGAAACAAAATCTCCCTAATTTTCTTTATTTATTTATTTTAAAGAAGCCAAATAATTTTATTTTTTCTAAATAAATTTGCTTACTAGTTAATTTAGCTCAAATCCAAAAATATGATTTTTCTATTTCTAATTTTCAGTCCAAACACAACTAAATCAAATTGATAAAAGTTTTATCCGAAATCTGTTATTCTACGGTAGTGTCGTTTCTACCGTTATGAGGACATAGAATTGAAGCTCGATAGCGACTCTTGTAATTATTGTAAACTCGCTATCTTCCTCTTCTCGCCATTTTTACAATCAAATCTATAAAAAACTGAGTAAAGAGAGACGTAAAATACACATAAGACTGTATTATGTTATTTTGTAAGAGCTAATTTTGAAACTGATCATATTTAATCTCTTACATAAGAAATTTTGCCGAAATTTTGCCTCAACCCAAAAAGAAATAATTGAAACCCAACCCATCATTATCCCAGCCCAGTTGCCCAAATCCAAAGCTAGACATTTCATCTTCACCACCTCTCTCTACAGTTGTTCGAGTCATGGACGTCATTGGCTCTCCGCGGCTCTGGCCCTACTCTCACTGCTCTAGTCCGTCGCACCAATTTCATCATCTCCATTCACTTCTCCTCTTCATTGCCTACTCTAAGTACACGGGTGGTGGCTGTAATAATCTCCAACTGTAGTCGGCAGGTAATGATATTCTCTCTGCTTATTTTTCAATTTTCATGATCATACTTTGTGGAATTGGATTAGGACCCATGTTCTAGATGATTTATTTTCAGATTGGTTTATGTATGGTTGGTGATATTGTGCCTATTGGAACGTAGGGATGGGCAAAACTCCCGAATCGATCTGAATGAATTGAGCAGTTCTTCTTAAGTTAAATTTTCGAACGAGTATCTAAGTCGAGAACCAATGGGTTCTGTTCAGTTCTAGATCAAGAACCGAATAATCAGAATAAGAACCAAATCCTCCTAATTTTTTAATTTATTTATTTTAAATAAGCTATGTAATTTTATTTTTTTTAAATAAATTTGCTAACTAGTTAATTTAGCTCAAACCCAAAAATATGATTTTTCTATTTCTAATTTTCAGTCCAGGCACAACTTAATCAAGTTGACTTAAGTTTTACCCAATCTGTTATTCTATCGTATTGTTATTTCTACCATTCGAGAGAAATCGAATTGAAGCTCATTGTGCCTCTCTTAATTGTTGTAAACTCGCTATCTTGCTCTTTCTATGATTTTAACAATCAAATTTTTGAAGAACTCAATAAAGAGAAAAGCAAAAGACACATAAGATTGGATTACAGTATTTTATAAGAGCTAATTTTGAAATTGATCATAGTTAATCTTTTACATATAAAATTTTGCCAATTCTAATTTGCCTCAACCCCCCTCCCCCCCCCCCAACACAAAAAAAATAAAAATAAATAAAAAAGTAAAAATTGAAACCCAACCCATTATTATCCTAGCCCAGTTGCTCAAATCTAAACCTAGACATTTCATCCTCACCGCCTTTCTCTAGTGTCGCTTGTGTCCTCGACTGAACGAACTGAACAAATTGAGCGGTTCTTCTTAAGTTAAATACTCGAACGAGTATCTGAATCAAGAATCGCGGAGTTCGGTTCGGTTCTCGATTCTAGATTAAGAATTAAAAAATCGAATAAGTACCAAATCTCGCTAAATTTAAATAAGCCAAATAATTCTTTTTCCTAAATAAATTTGTTAACTAGTAAATTTAGCTCAAACTTAAAAATATGATTTTTTTTTTTCTATTTCTAATTTTCAATCCATGCACAACTTAATCAAATTGATGTAAGTTTTTTCCAAATCTATTTTTCTACCGTAGTATCGTTTCTACCATTATAGAGAAAATCGAATTGAAGCTCAACAGTGCCTTTTTTAATTATTGTAAGCTCGTTAATTAACAGTCAAATCTATGAAGAATTCAACTAATAGAGATGCAAATGTGTCAATTGAATCCACTAATAGCAGCTGCCCCGCAACCCACAAGCCATTGATTCCACCATCTCTACAATCTTAGGCCCCCTTTGCCCCCATTTGTGCAAATGAAAATGGGTGGAAAAATGTTTTTTTTTTTTAATTTAATATGAGTGGTTAAAGCAGGAGGAAAAGTTTTTCTGTTTAATTGTAATATTATTTAAGGTAAGATTGTGTGGTTGAAAATAGAAAAGAGAAAAATGAAATGTAATATAATGAAAATTAATGTCGGCCAAACGAGGGCTTAATCATAAACCCTACCATCTTCAAACACCCAATTATAGCAACATTTAAACAACTTCAATAAGCACAAAGAAAAATTCAATCAACAGTGAGTAGTTGTCTTGATTTGTTTTAGTACATTAGCAAAAAAGGGAGAAAGACGGAATTGTTCTATCTTAGATATTGGTATTTGCTCTCGATAGTTATAGTTCGAGAAAAAATTGTTCCTTTTTTCATAAAAAATGGAATCCAATTCCTATTCATAGCTAAGCATTGTAAACCAAATCTTGTTGGCCTTTGCATCAATTATACATCTGAATATATCTCCAGCTTTCTAACCATATATGACCCACAATTAAAGCGGATGTTTATTCAGCTCAAAATGCTAATTATGACTATTTCTTTCACAATCTATGTAAAAGGAGTATTAAATGATCTTAAAATGATAGAGTTGGGGAACTAATTGAACAAAAAATTCAAAACATAAAAACCTGTAATATTTTTCCCATATTAGGAGAAGAAAACGTGGAAGAATGGGTAGTTGAAGCAATCCTAGATCTAGTTTGTGCTTTATTTAGGGAATATTTCCTTTTTTTTTCCTTCGACTATTCTTGATTCCTCGAGCTTTTAATATGGCAGCATTGGAATTTCGAATGCTATTGTTGGTTTATGTTAAAGCATACAAAATATGCACAAACTTGGAATGGCTCCATCCCTACTTTCATTCCCTGTTCTTTAAGGGGCTGTGGAAGGCGACGACAATGGAGGTATCCCTGCTCTTTATGTCTTTTTTTATTTAAGTTTTTATTATTTTACGTTAAAATTGTCAAGTTATTATTTTACCAATTTTATATTTGGTCAAAATCAATTTTTTGGTCAACTAATGATCATTTCATCCATTTGTCATTTTGCTGCAACAAAATGAAAAATGTAGGATTGTGGATGGTACAAATTAAATGTTTAAGTAAAGTCTACAAAAATATGAAAGATTTGGGACAGTAGCTACAATTATCCCTAAAACATATGATGTGAGGATTATGGCAACAAACCTTTTAACTTAAAAGTTTCTATTAATAACCTTTCTTATAAAGCGAGATCACTGTATGAGATATGTCGTAAACATTGAAATGTATTCAACAAATCTCTTTAAAAAAAATTAAAAAGCTCACACAATTAAATTAATAATCATCCGTCGCAGTGAGAAATTTAGAATGGGACAGTGGGGTCAGCTGCCCTCATTCCCAAAAAGTTCCTCTAAATATTTAAGTTCCTTAATATCTATTCTCAACATTTTATGTTATTTTTGCCTTCACAATTGCAATTTTTCACTTCTAGATTTTGTCCCCACCACTTTAGTTATAGAATTTTGCCCCCACAACTCTACAATCCTAGCTCTGTCCGATCCCTTGTTATATATTTTACTAAGAATCAAAGTGGGGTCATGCATAGCGAAAATTTCAAAAAAAAAAAAAAATGTTTTGCAATATTAAAGAAATATTTATAGGAAATGTCACTTAGGCTTTGTTTGACACATTATTTGAAAAATTAAAGAGTTTTGAATAGTATTTTTGGAGAATGTGTGGTTAAAAAGTAAGGAAACTTTATTGGTTTGTGTGTAGAATATTTTATTGTGTGACTGTATGCTGCAGAATGATACTGTAGCAAACAATGTAAATTTTTAAAGGTTGTCAAACAGGGGCTTAAATAGGTCAAGTACATGAAAGCGAAGGGGAAAAGAAAGGTGAATTGAATAAAATGGAAAATGACATAACTAGATAAGATATATACACTTATGTTTAATCAAACCTCGAATTTTGATCTTTTTTTGAAGAAAAATGAAGAGATTTGTGGAACTAATTTCATTTCTAAGGACTCGAGGTCAATATGTGGATGCTTGTCTTTCTACCTTTATTTTTGTTTTTGTTTTTTTTAATGTAGATGTCCGTGTTGACATTATTGCCTGGCTGCCTTTATATAATTTTCCTTTAATTTTTGAATCGTCAGATCCGCCCATGAATGTTATGGTTGGGGCTCACAAAAATTATATTAGCATTTAGTTCTACTTAAGTTATTCATGTTTGTTTACATTTACCCCAACCAACTATACCTAGTTGGTTGATTTCTTTTCTAAATCTCCCATTTTCTTTTCATCTCTTCTTTTGATTTTCTAATAGGGAAATTAACAGCTGATAAGTTCTTTTTCTACACTTTCGTTCTTTTTAGCATCAGTGGATGTTGTTAGACAAAGTGGAGTTTACAAATAAGAAGACAATGATCATTTATTTCAGGTAGTTTGGGATATTGTTATATGTACACAAAATAAGTAAGTAATAGTGAATGAATATTAGCAAATACATTTTGATTGTTTTGGGAATGTAAAAGGTAAGAAATGGACGACCAAATTGTGGCAACAACGCTTTTGGCGGCATTGGAAGCATCATGATAACCAAGAGTAATTGATAAATACTATAGTCACTGTTGCGAAAGCTCTCTCCAAGGATCTTCAATTCATTATTTTCTAGGCTCAATCCAAAGCACATTTCTTTACCAACAACCAATACAACCGTCACCGATCCACAACCAATATAATTTACCTTGATTTCTATTCAATCTTACCCACGTAGGACAATAAACAGTTATTATTTATGGCCACAAAGGTTAGGAGAAAACACCACAAATGTAGGCTATGAAGGAATCATCAATTACACAAAGTAAATAAGCGTTTTGGACACTTTTAGGGGTCGTTTTTCACACACTTCAAGGGACAGCCATGATTCTCCTTTTCTCACACAAAACCACACAAATCATACTAGAAAGTGATTAAGGTTATTGCCTTATATGTAGTCTAGGGTTAGGCTTTAAGTTGAACCTCTAAGAGATTTAAACGAGCTAAGATTCAAGCCATCCAAGAGGGATTACAATTGGTCCGGGTGGAGCTCATGGACTTGGTTGTTGGACTTATTTCATTCATCGGCATATGCCTATGAATAATTAATTCACGTTAACATCATAACCTATGATTTATTGGGTATCAAAAACTCAACAGTCACAAATTCTCCTACTTTTATCCCTTTTAATATCAATTCAATATTTAGATACACATTTAGATGTGAAGATCAATGTTCCTAATTCATTTAATAATCTCTCTTGATTAGAACTAAACATATCTTTGCATGTTTTTCATTTATCTTTATGAAAGATGCAAACATACAAATATGTATTAAAGTTATAAGAACATAGTAAAGAATCAAGCAAAGCATAATGTTATACTTATTCTTTCAAATATCAACAAAATTGTAAGTGTTGTATCATAGGATCAATCAAATAGTTTGTAAACACTTTTAATATGATTAATAAATTTTATATTTTTGTAAGATATTATTTAACAATTAATTTGCAAGCACATATTTTTTAATAGAATTGGTAACATGAAGACAGACTTCATGTTACTTGCTGTTGCCAAAAACTGTTTTTGACAACAGTCAATTATAGAAAGACAGTCTTTCTATACAAATTCTGTAGAAAAAATCTGTACTTATAGTATTGTTCATTATTTAATTGAATTTATTAAACTAATAGAATCTAAAGATTAAAGTCTTAATAACTTGTTAATTACAAAGAGTTGTGATTATGAAACGCAAATCATATATGACTAAATCTTGAATTATTTGTGATCGTAAGTAATAATGGGATACTAATATTGTTATTACAGTTAGATCATCACGTGTTGCAATTCTCACTTTTGAAGTGAGTGCTGATCTCACAAAGCTAAAATTTAGTGACATTAAAATAAACACGTAAATGTTTTGTTAAAGAACAAAACATTGAAGATCCACTAAAGATATTTAATACAGATAACTATTTGAGTGTCAGTGGTTAATCTTTAACGTTCGATAGTGAAATTAGTCCTTTGACTTGAGGTCATCATAGTGCTTTATATACGAACAATCATACTTTGGTGATATTGCATGTTGCTTTGGCAAGATTTGCTAATACGATATCATTTGGGTATATAAATTATATAAAGGTTGTGATTGACCAATAGAGTATTCCCCATTCTTAGAGTTTATGATCCACATTTCATTCAGTTTAGTCAATAATGAAACCTTTGACCAAATTTCATTAAATAGATTAATTAAGTATTAGATCGGTTTAAGTTTAAGAGACAGACTAAGCTCACTTGGACTTTATTAATAGTCTGTTAGGATTTGATAAATTATAACACAATACAATTATATTCTTACTAGCACAGAAAAGAAAATCTTAATTCTCTCAGTTTTGTTCCCAATATGGATTTTTGTTGGAGGTTAGATGATTGGAAAACTATGGATTGCAGATCACTAAGGTATAATTTTCTATCGTAGTTTCCATCTAAACACAAAATAGATCTTTGGTGAAAATTAAAATATGTTTTATTTTTCACTATGTATAGGGGTGTCAATTTAAATCGTCAGTTCGGGTCGCCTGTGGCTTGGTTCGAAAAAAGTTTGAGTTGATCCAGCTCGAGGTTTGAGCTAAGCTCCATTTTGGGATGTCGGCCCAAACCCGAGCCAGCCGTCTGGCTCATGGGCAATTTTCGAGTCGTGACCTTGAATTAAAAAAAAAGTAATAATTAAAAAAAAAAAAAAGCAGATTTTGCCTGCCTTTTAAAGGCAACACTAAAGGCTGCTGCTACACACTGCCTGTACAAAGGCAGCAAATATTATTAAAAATATTGAGCTTGCTTGACTCAATCTGTCTTTGCTTGGTAAGTCTTGAGTGGAAAGCTCAGATTGAGCCTAGATTTTTTGACCGAACTTTTAGCTCGAGGTCGAATAAAGCTAGCACCATTTTACTCAAGTCGTGAGTCGGCTCGACTCTTTTACATCTCTAATTTTGTATGATTAATTAAATTCTGAGCAGTGGTATCAGAACCTATTTTGTGCTTGTTAAAAACCATTTTGAACAATTAAAAGTTGTTTTTTTTTATAGCTTCTTTTCAAATCTAGCAATTTAAACAAAAAAAATCAAATTTTAAAAATCTGCTTTGGAAGATAAATTAATTTTTGCTTTAAAAATTGGATCGGAAGGATACAGGGACGCTGACGATTGGCGGCAACAGTCGTTGTCCTTACCGAACAATAGTTGAGTGCTGTTGCGAGCAGTGGCAGTGCATTATGCATCGTCGAGTGCTACCGAGCTTTGCAATAGTGACGACTATTGCCGCACAAGAGAGCAGTTCAAGTGGCTGTTTCTTGCCGCGGTGGATGGTGTGATGTTGGTAACCAAAACACTAAGTCTAGGGTTAGAGAAATTTGTTGGGACCGAGGCCTCCTTGTAATTTATGAAATTGCGGGCCTCTGCCTACAAATGAAAGTGTAAAGTTCAAATTGCAATTTTAAATAACGGACTTGTCATGCAATTTTCAAAATTGAAGGACCTGATTTTATTTTTAATAAATGGGTCAATGCTACAATTTTTTAAATAGTTTTGAATCTAAATTTTAAAATGGGTTTTGATCCAAAATTCGAACTTGACCTAATTAAAATAGAGGAAATTGCAGAGGATGTCAATTTTTCCCAAGATATTTACAAAAATGTCTAATTTTTTTTTATTTTTTTTTTATTTTTATTTTTTTTTGCAAGAATGTCAATTTAAGACATATTTGCTCCTAAAGATAATTAAATGAGATTTGACCCAATGGAAGAAATTGTACAAAAATCTTGTCAATATCAAGGATGAAAAGTTGGAAAAAAAGAGATGAATCTTATTTTTCTCATTCAAGCAACCCTAACTCTCTCACTCTCTCTATCATTTTTCTCATTACGGACTTCAATCCAAGAGAGAAAAATCTTTTTTTTTTTAACTCAAATTTTGTAATATTTTCATCGTAAAGGTATATGAGATGCAAAAAATGGAGCTTTTTACTGGGTTTAAAATAAGAGCTGGAGCTTTGATTAGAAAGATGTGAAAATCCTTTTAATATCCTGTAATTTTTTTGGACATTTTGAATAATTTTTAGTTGTGTTATGGTTGGAAATGTTTTCCCCCCTACTTTCTGCAATTTTATACAATAAATTTTAATTTTCTTTTTTGTATACATTTTCTATTAGTGATGCATAATATGCACACGTTACATGTGCCAACACTAATTTTGAGGGAAAAAATTATATAGTGTTCTAGTTTAATATTTATCCTCTTCCTTTGCTTTCAAAGTTCAGATTTCAAGTATTTTGGATATTTTAATGTTGGGTGAAAATTTGGATTGACACTTGACATATATTTCGTTTCAATGTTTTTGGTACTTGTGTGATGTGAAATAACATTACTATCACTTGGAATTCATTTGTTGTGGGCGGTACTCATATTTAGGTTGAACTCTTGCTAGGCAGTTGACAGCATATCCGTGGTTTTAATGTTTTGTTATGCTCGAATATGGAGTGAAATAATTTTCAATAATACCTAATAGAGGTGAAAAGTAGATTTCCCGATAGTTCATCTGTTGACTAATGTAGAGAAATGCTATTGCGCTTAACTGTCGTTCCTAACAGTTAGCCTTAGTAATTCTCGACAGATGAACTGCCGAGAACGATAGTTCAGTCTTTCCCTCCGCTCAGTTCCACAAGTCAAACTTTGGTTCATTCTAACATTGCACGAGTGTTTTGCATGAACATATATGAAATGTTATGATCTCATGATTTTTTGATTGATTGGTCCATATGTGGTTAGATTTTTTCCATCCGAACGTCTCACATGTGACCGATTTGTCCATATGTGGTTATATTTTTGTGCTTCACCTTTGTATTTGTATAACGATACCACCATCGTCACGATTCATTCTTCATAATTTTTGGATCTTATGCAATTCAAATCTATTTTTGCGGAAGTTATTTGTTTGAAAAATATGAATGAATTCAAATTACGATAAATTGTATGAATCAATTGAGTTATATTATGTACTGTGATCGGATTGTTTTTGCACATAAAGTTAACTTTATTGCACTTCTTCACATTGTTTTCTATGTGCTTTATCTCGGAATACTAATTTTACCAATGTATGATGATACATGAGTAGACTCATACTCATGACTTGAATGATCCTCAAAGTGTTGGTGCACACATTCTTGTTATAATTGGAGGTGGAACCAATCGATTTCGTTGTCAAAGAAAGAGCAATCTTCACAACGGTCTACTTTTGATGATTGTGGCAACTGCACATTGTTTTTTAAATAGGGTCATGGAGCTATTCCACAGTACAAAACAATGGTCACATCATGTTCGATACTTGAGCAAGGTTGTGTACATAAAAATGGTTTTTGGTGTATTTTATAACTTTCATGCTTTCGAAACTCGTTTGATTTATCGATTAAAACTAGTATCCATTAAAAATAAGCATGATGGGAATGAATATTATGATTTGTTTCAATCGAAAACGTTCGTGAATCATGGTAATATTACTGGACATCATTTTCTTGCAAAACATAATGAGCACTTCTTTGTTTGCATTAAAATATTGTGCGTACCATGTTTCAATCAAGATGAAATGGTACACATGATTTAATGTACACAATTTTCATAAATGATAGACCAAGTGTGGGTGATACAAGCATACTTAGACTTTAAAAGCATCACACTAATTGTCTTTCAAATTCAATTTGAGATGTGATGAAAATAAGTCTTCATCGTCGTGTATTTCGATCGGAGGTATATTCAAGTTAAAGATCTTGAACTTCAATTCAATTTGAGTGCGGGGATCAAGAATATCAAGTTTGTCCTTCAACATTAACAAAAGTCTGGTTACGATATTACTTGTCGGAACCAGAATGTAAGTGATTTTGTCCCCTCTCCACTTCTACTCGTCATCCGCATTAACAAATTTTTTCCCATGCGTGATGAATCTCAAATGATTATTCCTCAAATTTTGGGATTGCAACGATAAGAATTCTACAGAATCAATGTATTGGCATTTAATAGCATGAAAGTGGCATTACATAATATGTAAATCTGTACAGTAGTAAAAGGTC